ATGCTTCTGCTCTCGAGCTGGATATTGCAAGCAAAAAACAATTAGGCCTCTGAATCTGCATATTTTCTATCATAACAAGCTCTCTCCCATATCCAAGTTCCCCCCTCCCACTCCTTCACCTTTGGTGGCTTCACTTACACAAATCTAGTTGCTGACACGTACAACCATCTGATACCTGCCATATCCGACAACTCAATCAATCTGCATACCTGCTATGCAACTTACATTGGAAATGACTCAAGGTCTAAAATACTGAAAAAGATCAAACAAAAGTCTAACTTTCTTTCATAAAGGATGCTTTGCCTCAGTAGAACACCACTTTTTTAATTGCTCTCATTTCACACAACTAATTTATGATTGCAATAAATACAATTGCATCAAAATGCTGACTTAAAGACAGCAAATAGATTCTTGTCAGCCAGGCAGAATAAAATAGAGCTAACCAAATGAAATGGAATCCAGACTGACAACTTTCCCCAGCCAGAGTGAGAGCATAACAGGCAGACAGGAATACAAAACTTGGCAAAAGGAAAAAAATCAGCAGCCAAGTTCTACTGAATAATGAATACAAAGATGACAGAGAAAAGAGCTGGATAGTTATTAAGTTGCTATGATATACATTTTTAAGGTGCTTCATGAATAGCTTCTAAATAAGGGGCAACATTCATCTGTTCTGCTGGTGGTCCTGCTTTGCAGCCACCTTGTTCAGAAGCCCTGCCAGTCTACTCAAATTGCACTGGGATGCTGTTGTATGCCTGGTATGAAAAATCAGGACTCACATGATAATTGGTCTTGTGTAGTAGCCATCACTTTATATTCACTGGATACTTGGCCCAAAGATGAGAACACAATGAAAAAAAACAGGCTTGTCTCCCCAGTACCATCTCCTATCATCACTTGGAGCACTTTTTGAAGTTGATTTTACCAGTTCACTCACTGACCATCCTGAAGGCTGTTAATACTTTTACTATTCTTTAAACATAAATACTCATGTCTCAGTTTCCCCAGTGGTATATTCTGAAAAAGTTTATAGAAACTGAAACTCATAGTCTGGCAGCATGGTAGCCCAGGTCCTTAATCATCCACTCCCCAAAAACCCTCTCTCTCTCCATTCCTTCTTTCTGTTCCCACACCTTCCCTTTCAGTGTTTCCCAGTACAGCTATTTGTAGGGCAATGATGAGAACTGGATATAACTGAATTGATTCAGGTTTAAAATAACTCCTAAAGATATATTTGGGATACTTCGGGCAAAGTAGGGGGGCAGGGTTTAAAGGTTCTTTTTTTAACTGCATTTCCTCTCAGATCAATTTGCAGCACAGCCTAGGAAACAGATGCACCAGCTCAGCTGGACAGGGTTGGGCTTAAGGTAGATTGAAAGATTGAAGCCTTTCCACTATTCCATTACAAAGCATTCAGTTTCCTACCACTACTGCTTACTCAGGTAGTACAGATTTGAGCTAACCAACTTCAAATTATTTTCCTTTCTTCCTTGGCTCCATTTTACACTTTTGCCCTCCAATGCACTAAAAAAGACCATAACTTTTTCCTCAACTGACCTTTTTGATGTCTTTTTTCTCCTCTTTCTCCTGAAGTTGCCCTCTTCCAATATTGAATTGGGAAAACACAAAGCACAAATTCCAGAACTGGTACATAAGCACAGTTCTTTCTGATTGCCCAGACATTCTCTGAGGAGAAAGGGCTTTGTTTGGTGGGAGGTTTTTGGTTCAGTTTAAACTGTACTCCAGTTTTTTTTCAAATGTTCAAGCCAGTTAGGGAACAGGATGACTCTTCTGTAAATGGTTACTTTGGCCTTAACAATTAGCAGTGCAGAATGCCTTTTCAAGCAAGAAAAAGTGTATGCAATACATTTAAACAAACAAACAAACAAACAAACAAAAAACCGCAACAAAAACCAACCCTTAACACAAGTCTATGCTTTAATTCTGTATAATGCAAAAATTAATCTTAGCTATATACTTTGGGTTTTGATTATTTTAAATACAAAATTAAAAAAAAATCACTTGTCTTTATCAAATATATAAGACAGAACAAAATTAAACCAAAAGCTTTTAGTAAAAAGACTTAGTTCTGCTCTTATTAATGATTTCAAAAGAGACAGGTTATCACTTAAAATTGTCCATCTTACATAGCAATCGTCCTCAATTCATTTGAAAATAAATTTAAATATAATTGCAAATCAAAAGGACAGCATCTAAACCTGCCTTCGTAGTCAGGATTTGTCACATATTGGTCAGACAGGCTACAGTCAAAATCCAAATTTCTCAACTCCAAGTGCATTGATCATTCTCAGACTATCCAGATATCAACTAAATAGCATCCTCCATAAGCAATTTTAGTCTTCAGATGGAGCAGGCCAGAGACTCACTAACTTGAACATTATCTAAACAGTATTTTATGTGAAAAGGTAAAACTCAAAAGTCCAAAGGAAATATAAATACAGTAAAAAAGTACTTCAGAAAATATTGTCTGATAAGGAGGCAATGCACTAGAATAATTATTTTCAGTATCTTTGTTAGGTAAATCGTAATGGTTCTGTTGCCCTTAAGCATTTTTTTCATACCATGAGAAGCTCTCTAGAAGACTGATATATTTGCTTTAATTTGCTTTTAAAGTGCTACCTTTGTTCCTCTTTGATACACCTGTCTATTTATTTTTTTTTTAATTGACAATTATTGCCTTAACAAAAGGTTTGTTTTCACTTCTTTATGCCCAGGGAGTGCTTGCAAACAGGGAACTGTGAAGTTAAAGGTAAGGGCCATGGAAAGTTGGAGTACAAAAGAGTATGCAGACAAGTACTCAAAAAGAAATGCTTCTCCTAACAGGCTAGGTCAATGAAGACATTCCTGACGTCCCAGGCCCTGCAGGACACTATGGTCTTACAAAGATCTATACAATTTGTGAATGATTTTAATAAAACTTCAGTAAAAAAGAAGCCTTACTGGAGATATTTTGTAACTGAAGCTCCCAGCTGATCTCCTCAGTAATGGAACAACCAGAGGCAGAAAATGAATGAACAGAGGCTTCCCCGTTATTGAGGTAAAACTCGGGGCAGCAGCACTCAGCCTGAAGAGATGTGCAAGAAACAGGTAGCCTACTAATTTAGTGAATTAGGAAATGCATTTCTGGCAGATGAAGCAAAACATTCATACCTTTGTTCACTGTAGTCCCTTGCCATTAAATTGCCTCCAGCTAAAATCCAATCTCCAAATAGGTTTGTAATCTACCAAGCACAGAATTGTTATTCCTATCATTACAGATGGAAAAACAAATTTCCGTGGACACCAATTTGCTGTCCAAGGCAATTCTGATGCTGGGTGGAAAAAAACCTCACAAGTTGGGTGTCCAAGTTTAGAGCTCCTCACCTAGGAAGAGAGATCTCATGTTCAAAAACTTAGGATGTGGAAGCTTGGATTTCACCTGTGTTACTTAGGTCTCTTCTGGGCCAATTTTACCCTGGCCCTGAAGCAGAAAAAGAGGAAAAAGGGGAGAAATAGCTTTTCCCCATGAAAAGCTCAACAGAAATGTCTGCAGAGGTTTTGGTTTTGAATAATGGCTGTTCAGTAATAAAAAACTTCTTAGGTATTCAGAATTTTCTGTGTCATCCTAACGAATGTTTTTAGAGGATAAGCTAACACTTGAGTTATTAATTAAACTCCATGAAGCAGTCATCCTTTCAGTATAAAGCCTGCTGTTACAGATGCACTTTAAGAAAAACAAAACAAAAAAAAATTAATTAATTTACTGTTTGTCTCTGTTCATCATTAGGTGCGCTATGTACCATACAGTATTTGGCTACTGACATTCAACAGAGGTCTTGCCCACTCCAATATTCATAAGTAAAAAAATAATATATGTACATAAATATATAGGAAATTATTCTTTCCTTTTCAATTTTGTCAGAAAAGAGCATGATAACTAAGTCAATGCGTCACAGCAATTTAAGAGGAAACTACCAGTGACTAGAGGTGGGGTTCTTTTTCACTCTTCTGTTTTCCTTTTATACCACAGCTATATAGTCTATATGAACAGAACTCATCACTGTTTTATCAAAATCTACAATTTCTTGTCAATTCATTTGGATGAGAAATCAAAATTTTAAAATCAAGGTTTTTGAGACAGATTGCAGAAATGTAATTTGTTTTATTGCTTTTCTCATTTATATCTCACTGAAAAAATGTGATATGTCCATATGAAACATTTTCCTTTTGTTAAGTCAGTATTTTTCTGACTTACTTATTTTCACTAAAAAGAAAATTACATATACTCAGCTCACTCATCTGCACAGCAAATGATGTAACAGAGTCTTGATTTCAGATGGAGTTTCTTAGTACCACTAAAATACATGCAGTCTAAGGAGAGAGAAGCTAGGGGGGTTTGGTGAGCTCTTTTGTTTGCTTATTTTATTTGCTTGTTCTTGGATAAGAAGTTTAAAAACGAGAAATATTTGTTTTGTTAAGGCACTATTACATTTAAGCCGTAGCTCCTACTAGGGGAAGAAAACAATCCACGCCAAAGGAACGCACCCAGGTCCTATGTATCTCTGTTAAATTAGAACAATAAGAGCTTTATCTTTGCCTCAGGGAGCCTGAGGGTGATATCAGCCACCACACTTGCACGCCTGACCAAACTAAGCTGAGTTTGCAAGATACAAGATGATAAGAGCATGAATGAATTCTTTACAAAAGGTAGTCAGATATGCAGTGCTCAACTCAGATATTCGATGCTTGTAGGTAAACAGAATGAGGGAACTGCTGCAAGTAAGGGAAGTAATTGGAAAAAAACCCATCCCCAGTGTCAAGTAATAGCAGTGGCTAATAAGATATTGTTTAAACAAAATATAAAAACCCAATACTAAAGCTGTTTAAGTGTTCTTTAAGCATTAGACATCTGTGCTCATTTTTGGGACTTGAAAACTCATTTAACACCTGTTTAATAGTGATTGGTGGCTTACAAATAGCATACGGCAACGACGACTCACCTGGCATACAGCAGAAATGATCTGATGCATTTTCAGTCGATGAAATACAAAGACATCGTACACGGCTGAAATGGCCAGAACAGTCACTCCTTGCTCCTTCCACAGCATGCTGCATCCTGCACACAGCCCTGCTCCCAAGATCCAGCCCCAAGTACTTGGTGAGGAACCTCTGGTAGAGCAATGCTTCACGTAACACATCAGGGAAAGGAGAAAGAAGAGGCAGGCTCCAATGTCTGCCCTCCCTACAATCCCCGCTACGGCTTCCGTGTGGATGGGATGAGATGCAAACAACAGGCCTGCTATCAAAGTCCAGTACCCATCTCCAAACAGAATCCTGGAGAAGTTTGTGAAAAGGCCTGTGACTGCAGCATGTAATAAGACATTTACAAGATGGTAGCCCCACGGGTCCATTCCCCCAACAGCATGGTTAATGCGGAAGGAAAGTGTGCAGAGAGGTCTGTAGGACTTGTGGCTCCCGCTGTGAGTAAGCAGTGTCCCCCAGAAGTCATTGTAGAAGATTTGGATCCACGGCGTCTCAGGCAGAAGGTCCTGGTTTGTCTTGATAGCTCGACTACAAAAGACAAAGAAAAGCTTCATTTTAGCACAAAAGAAAGGATGAGAAAATGCAATCACACCACTACCACAAGAAAGAATGGCATTGCTTTGGTGCTGCTTTAATTCAAGTTTGAATTTTTACAGGAGGTGTTAAAAACTACATATCTATTGACTTCCTGCTAGAGCAAAATTTCCATATAAATTGGCTTTTAAAACATTAGAAACAGATGTTACACTGTTTCCATTAAATTAAAACACCCTTCAGTGACATTCTTCTGAGTCTAACCCAGCAGTAATTGGTTAAGATTTGATGAGTTATAATTAAAATGTAAAAGAAATATGAAAAACTTGCAAACATTATTGTTGAAACAATGGATCCTCCAGTAATTCAGAACTAAAACCCAAAGTAGCCTTTTGTGTTGAAATTTTAATTTAGATTTTGGAATGAATCTCTCTAACACAGATGAACAGTAACTACAGAAGTCAGTAGGAGCATGCAATTTTCTGGTTCTGTACAAGGCACACCCAAAACTGTCTTGTATATATTTTGACAGACAACATTTTCTGCTAACACCTTGCTGGAGCTAGACAATAGAATATTTTACTGATGAAAATATACCTTCTATTTAAATTTCTTGTATTTACAATAGAGGAGGAAAAAAAACATGGTCTTATGTTGTATTAGCTTATAAATTCAAGTCTGTCAGCTTGATTAGAAAAAAAAAATTGCTGAAGCTTTCAGCATTTATGCTTTCAACCACCCTGGAAGGACTGGTACCAGTCATTAGCAGTCTCCATGTCTAATTCGTTATTGTAAAAATCTGTCTACTACAGTGTTTGTACAAATCCAAAGATTTGCATTCAAAATTTATGCAGTGGGAGAAGGTGTGAGACCTGCTTAATGCAAAAAGATGAGTAGAATTTAATTAGTTACTTGTATTTAAGCAATTATTCAAAGATGCATTGTTATTACTACCGAGCTTAACTCATTTAGCATTTATTTTATTAGAGTAATTAAGAATCCAGCCAGCTCGAGACTCTTCTATTCAACATACTAAACAAGAGAGATGATTTATATCTAATTCTTTACTCATACCCTCTATATGCCTTTCCAACATTATAATTAATAATTTTTCAATTCAGATGAGGGAGGGGGAAAAAAAGTGTGAAATGCAAGCCCACATTTAAAAGGCATGACTAATTCATATTCTAAGACTCCCCTCACATTCTGCATTTCCTTGGAACCTGTATCCAAATCCCTTTTTCTTTTATGGTATGCGTTTCAGAAATGTTGTTCTTGTTCTGGAAAGAAAATGCTCAAACACTGATATGCTATGCCACAGAATCTCCATGCAAATACTCCAAATACCACACAGCTCAGCATTTCCATTGTCCAGAGCATACTGCTGTAATGCTTTCAGACACGCTTCCTCTCAGCGTGTCCCTTATTCTCTGAGCATATAGAGGTCATGGAGAGGTCAGCTTAAACCCTTTAAAGATCTGATGGTGCTTTCTAGAATATTTGAAAATTTTCATTTTGTCTTCTGCTTATGCAGTGGATCGGGTTGCCTGCATGTGTTTTCCCAACCCCATACACATTTTTCTCATTTTAGTCCAGTCACAAAAGAACACTGGAAGAAAACTAGATCTTTGCCTTCACATTATTTATCTTGTCCTTCTATGTAGTCCTTTCCTGAAACCTAATTCCTCTGCTTGCAATTTCAGTTTGTAGTATCACTCTCAGAACCACTATCAGAAAACTAGGAATTCAGCAAGAGTAAAAAGCAGGTGTTAGGCAAGACAGAGTCCATTTTCTGAGACAATATACTATATTTAGACTACAGGCTCCCAAAGGCTAAGAATGGCTATCAGATGTGAGGAGTTAGAGTTGAAATCTTGAACAGTGAAAGTGTTTTTTCTTGGGGAAATAATAAGAAAATAAGTGGCAACAATATTGCCAGAACAATCGCCTTCCCCCGAGGCAGTGCATTCTGCTACAAAGAGCCTAGACAGTGCACAGGTTGTTCCCACGAAATGGTAGCTTTTATTATATCTTTTGCAAATATGGCCATTTCCAACACTTGAAGCCACGTAACTGCTATAAAAAAAAAAGCCCAAAAAACAAACAGAGCTGTGGCTATCAGTACACATGTACAAAACAACTCCATAAAACTCTGCTACACTTCTGAAGGAACCAGCCCTCTCTCTAAGCTGACAGTTTTCATGCAGCACACTACTCCTAGCATACTCCTAGTTTCTTGTGCATGTAAATGCAACACATTCTAGAATCTGCCAGTCAGCATGAAACATATAGAAGCTGACAGTTCCAGTTTACTCAGTTGTTTAGTCAGGTCAAATGCTGTCTTTTCTAGAAATCAGGATTTTAAATAAAGTTGAAATTTCTTTTCATATGGTTATTTTTTAATTAAATATTTATAAGGAAAAAAAGTCTTGCTAATGCTTTGGGATATTAGAAAAGTCTAATACAAGAGGAAAGGACTGTACACAGTCCCAGGACCTCATGTCAGCTCCCCCCACACTGCCCAGGGCCCAGGACCCTGTGTCAATCTCCAGGGCCATCAGCCTTTGCCCCAGAAGGGCCAGTTTTAAGCTCCCCAGGCCTTATCCTACCAATGGCCTCACTGAGCTGGGTCCATATCCCAGCCTGGCCTTGTTCCCAGGAAGGTGCCCAATGCCTGGGGCTAGGGTTGTCCCAGCTCCTAGCTGGGGCAAGGCTCTGTTTTTTCTTTAGTTACCAAATAACCAAGCTGATAACTCTGCTTAGTTACCAATTTCAGCAGTAATTCTGCAAGCAATCACTCCTCCCAGCCTGGCAGATAGTGCCAAGCGTGACCCCAGGAACGCATACCATGTTAGCAGCCACGCTCACTTTCTGCAGATAGAAAAAATTATTAATTGCTGGTTCTGTGAAAGACTCTGGAATAAAGGAAACTACAAAATGCCATATTAGCCTTGCCTGCTGCTTCACTCACAGTTTACCTGAAGGTTATGTCCTGCAGATTATTCCAATCTTGCTAATGGGCATAATAAGGGCAGCTCTCCAACTGCACTCATCACTCCTGAGCAGAACTGCAAACTCTGCTCTCACTAAAAGGCAGCAGGTCACCCAAGAAAGTAATTTCTCAAAATTCCAACACAATTGGCATTTTTACTTTCAAGCAGCCTCTGATAAGGGCTGCAGACTCAGTCAGGGAGCTTGCTTTCTTCAATTTGCAATGCCTGCCCATTTCACACATCCCAGGAGAGAAGGATATCTTATTCAATATACAACAAATGGATGCGCTGGGGGGTAGGAGGGGAAGGAATTGGAGTCAGCTATCAATTCTTCAGAAATGCAAGGGTGAAGAAAGACAAAAAACTGTAAAGGTAAAATCATAATTTCTAACCCACTCAAAAGAATCCTTCTGCCTCCTGCCATAATCCACTTCTTTGCCCAGGTCAATACACACCTTGAGTGCAATCACTGAGCCTTTTTCTAATCAAACTTAAAAATGCCAGAGATCCAGCCATTTACACATGCACATTTAGATGCATACAGAGACAAAAAAAAGTTCCCAGATGTTTTTAAAATTAACAGCTATATACGTCCTAAACTTCTGCACTGGTGCTAAACTGATCCAGGTGTTAACACTAGGGTAAAGAAACAGATGCGACATTCTAAAGTGATTTAACAAGTTAAGCCTTATATCCAGCTTCAGTATTGCTAATGGTCCCCATATGCTGAAAATTAACATCAGCATTTGAAGTAGACAACATATTTTAAAGGAAAAGGAGAAATCCCAAACGTGCACACAGGAAGCCATTGACCAGACCTCTCTCACATAAAATAGATAGGCAGTGATGGACTGGCAAGTCTCTACTTGTAGGTTCTTTGTATCAAAGTAATTTTTAAATAGCGTTGATTTAGTCCTTTTTCATTAACAGGAATGGGAAAGCACCCTAGAGTATTTTAACAGTGGATCTTAATGAGATACCCTAAGTATGCTTTGCAGACTCTGTGTTACTTGTATAGACAACAAGACTGAAAACACAGAGAGCCTACTTTTTTGAGTACAAGCATCCCCAAAGCATGCAGCAATTGAGTCAGTTCAAGCTATGTACAGGCTATCTGTTAGGCACATGGTGGTCAGAAAGCATGGAAGTAGAGCTTGTCATACTTTGGACAGTTCTTACACTTGCCTGCAGACTATAATTTATATGTAGTCTGTATTGACAGGATAAAGTAAAAATCAGAAAATACTTTTTAGCACGTAAAGATATCTTAAGAAAGTAATAAGCTTAAGAAATGAAAACATATTCATGTAAATGTTTAATTATAGACTTAAGGGAACTATTTGCCATTCTGGTAGAATTATGGTGGCAATTATGTCTTACATGTTGTGTATTAAAGTCCATTCTTTCTCAATAGGTGTGAAAGTGGGATTTAGCTACAAATCCAACAGGCAGTAAAGTTTGACAAATGCAAAAAAAAAAAACAAAGCCCGGAAAACAAAAACACAAAACAAAACAAAAACTCAACAAATAAACAAACAAAAAAACCCAAAACACTTATATATAACACTGAAAGCTATTAGGAATTGCCTTAACTACACTGAAGTATGCTGCATGTATTGATTTTCTTGTTGACTAAGAGAGCTTCGAAAACTTTAAATAACCAAAAGTTCAAAACACTTTAGTAACAAGAATGTTGAGATGGCCTGAAAAATCTTTTCCACCCAGAACATAAATATTTCAAAAACTATAAAAGCTTTGAACTGACTCATTCTCCATAATATAAGTCTTTCCATTTCTAAGTGCGTCCTCATATGGTGAAAGAATATGGCCTTAATATTAACATTAAGTGCACTCCACTCCCTCTCAGTTTAAGATTTAGTCTGACATAAACACTGAAAGATGGACTATGGAAATTTAAAACCCTAATTAATTCCAACTGCCTGGCATAGTATTATTTGATTATTCATGCACAGGTTAAAAAAAAAAAAACAAACCACACTG